TGACAATGAAACAGCAATGCTTGTTTTGAAGTCAGAATACTTCTCCTTAAAGTCATTAATTCACATTTGGTTCTGGATGCCAACTGTCATTTAAAATGCTCACTCAATATAAAAGCACAAATAGAAGGCTGTCTTTTTTCCATTTTCTGTCTTCTGGTATGAAAGAGCATCCTTTGAAAAGATTTAAAGGAAGAATGAAAAGAACCACCTCCATTTGAAGGCATTGTATTTTAGCTTCTTTTTGCCACAACACAGCAGAAGAAATGAAGCAACAAGGTAGAATGTACCCCCACCTTTCATCATTTGGTTCCCCCCGCTAGAAGAAAGGAAGAAGTAAGCCAAAACAAAAGTAATTGCAGTCTCCTATCAGGGCTGAGGTTCCATTTCATGTTGCGACGTACACACTGTGCTTATTTCCATATAAAACGCTCAGAAGCTATGCACACATTTGTACTGTTTCTGGTATCTCACCGTTACCTATCATGCCTACCTTGGGGCTTGAGCCTGTTTATGTGAAGTGATGTTCACTGCCGGCGATGATTGAGGTTTTGTTAAGAAAGCCGTAGGGGTTAAAACTCCTGCTAAAAATACCTGAAATTGTTCCTCTACAATAAAAGGAAGCTGGAATAGTGCTGATTTTAGAAAGTTTTTGAAAGACAAGGCTGTTCAATGTCTTAGAAATGTATTCATGATGTATAACCCTTTTCACAATTTGTCCCATAAATACCAGTAATTTTATCTTATTTGCGCAGTATTTAATGTGACAAACACAAAGACAGAAGACAGAAAATTCCTGTTTCTCAACATTTTTTACCAACATTCTTCACCAATAGCATTGTGCAGATGACAATTATGCAGAACAACTTTTAATCTATAAAAATCAGAAAAATATTTCAATCTCAATAAGTAATTTTTCCCAAAATAAATTATTTATTTGTTGGATTGAGAAAGAGGTGAGACACTTTGCCAATGGAACAATTTACATTTACAATAAGAAAAACAATTGCATCGTCTTATCTCAAGTGCATAATATATAATTATCTTTGTTTAAGAGTCAATTTACTCATTCCTTTGGCAAATTGTCTTATATACCTTTTCCATTTAATGGTAAATATACTTAATTTAAGAATTTGTTTTACCTATTTCTTTAATTTTTGCAGTGTAGTTACAACTATATAATTTGTTGACTAAAATTTGTGAACACTCAAGGCATTCTCATTACAAAAATTTACCGACCTTAATCTTTCCACTGAACCGCTTATATATTTGACTTAGTTGTTTCACCAAACAATGAACATATACTATGCTGGTGATTAGCATCTCATCAGCATGCTGCTACTACGATCAGGTTTGAATGGGAACCAGGGACTTTAAGCAAAATAGTACATAGACTTTTAAGCTTCAGATTTACCTAGTTCCACCAGTGTTACCCAATACTCCCAAAGAGTTAAAGTTCACTAAGTCAGTTATATCTTGGTAGATCGCAGCTGTAATCCATTTTTTTTTCTATTTCAGATAAATGCTGCTCTATTAGATTTTTAAATTTATGGAAGTTCTATAACTTAACCCTGGTTTAAGTTAAGTTATACTTTTAAAATTTTAAAACAATTTTGAAATCTGTGTATTCTATTACTTCCATATCAGGTATGTTACAGTAACGCAATGAAATACATAGAAAACAGTTATTTTCCTTCCTCCTGTTAAAGTTCCTGTACTAGTTGTTACTTTAAATCATATAACTGTAATATAACATCTGCAATGATATATATTTATTATTAAAATGGATTGTTTGGACTATCTTGTATTTACTATTAACATATATCAATGAAAGTCATCAGAGTTATACGCATAATGTTTTCTTAATTACCAAAATATAAAATAAATACACAAAAGAAGCCCTTTGTAGATTTTTTTAAAAAAAGACGTTGAATCTTAATCTTGAGGTTGAGGTCCAAAAAGGTAAATCTTTATCCTCATGTTGTTATATTTTAGTGTCCATGAGCCAGTCTGTCACAATTTTCTTTAATCTGCTGTTCAAGGGAATGCTGGTGCTCATTAAGAGGATTTTGAATAAGCTATATCTCATGTGGAGCAGTTTGAACTCACAGAGGACCTAAAGATCAATCGCCTCTAGAGCCTGAACATGTGATCTTATGATTCCTCACACACTTTTAATCCAGCTGGTAAAATGTAGCTTCCAAACAGGGAACACTAGTTTCTGGTGATTTGAGTAAACCCAATAGGTACAATTTCTTTTTTACTCCAAGGAAGCAAAGATTTCTTGGATGGGAAGCAAAACGTATTTGAAATTGGAAAAACAAAGTCCAGTGGATTGTTTTTTAACTTTTTCAGAATTATTACTGTTCTCACTAACAACAAGTGTTGGCTCCTTTGGCTGAATAATTTTTTGTAAAATATTTATTGCATTATTGGTATTAGTTATTTAATACCCTGCCAAAACCCTGGCTAACCCTCCCTAGATGAATAAAAAGACATCGATAAGGGAAGAAGAGAAAATGCTCAATTCTAGGATTTTTTTCCATTAACCATCAAATTCAGCAAATTGTGATTATCAAAATAAATTTCCTAAATGAAAACAGCAATTTTGAAAAAAACCCCTCAAGTTAAAAAAAAAAAAAAAGGTTTAAAGCAACGGCTACAGTGGTGTTTTTTGCACTGTTGCCTTGCTAGCGATTGGCTAGCTCAAGTGGTAAGTTACCCGTCCTGGAAACAGCCTGGATTCGTATCTCAGCTAGGGGGAATGAGCTGTCACTGTGGGTCATTAGGCAAGACCCTTTACGCTAATGTCTGCTTTGGGGAGTGGCAGCATAGTGGTTGTAATGGCATAGTTGGATCTCTGAGTTTCAGCCTCACTCCCACAGACTGCCACTCTGGGTTCCTGAGTAAGACCCTTAACCTCCACACTGCTCCCCAGGCGCCGCACAATGGCAGCCCACTGGGGATGGGTTAAATACAGAGAGTTCAATTTGTTGTACTTGTGACAGTGTAATAATAGTGTAATAACAATTAAATGCTGGAAAAAGAAAAAAAAAGAATCTGGGTCTTTCTGCATGGAGTTTGCATGTATTCTGGCTTCCTCCTACAGTCCAAAAACATAACAAAACACAACACAGTGTGTCTCTGCGTTGCCCTGGGACAGACTGCCAAAGATGGATGGATGGATGGATGGATGGATGGATGGATGGATGGATGGATGGATGGATGGATGGATGGATGGATGGATGGATGGATGGATGGATGGATGGATGGATGGATGGATGGATGGATGGATGGATGGATGGATGGATGGATGGATGGATGGATGGATGGATGGATGGATGGATTTCGCAAAACTGTAGTCTAAACACTTTCTTCACATCACATGAATCACGTTATCAACAAATGGACCTTACTGCCTTTTAAAGAGATTAGGTAGACTGAAAGGAGTAGGAGGATGATGGCCCCCAGTAAAGCCGTGATTTAAATATGGATATATATAGGTGGATACATCTCTCCCATGTTGTTCTTGAACATGTTTTGTTTTGTTTTTTTTACGTGAAAAAAAAACATATTCACAAGCAATTTCAATTGTATTTGTAATTCTGCAATTGCAAAACGTTGCATTTTAGGAATTAGCACAATATCTAAATAATTTTTGCTCACATTCGCAATAAAAATGCTGCTTATGTTAGTTTTTTTTACCATAGCCCCCCACTGTTGAGACCAGAACAACACAAGAAGACATCTACCTGTCCATAGAGAGGAAGTGAGCCAAAACAGTGCTTTCAATAACCACAGATGGAGCTCCTGATATGATGAGATGAGGAAAGGGAGCTGTAGCGAAACTTCATCTGAGCCTGTCAGATGGGCATGCTAAGGTGATGAATGCAATGATGAAAATGATTTGTTTACTTGGGCATCTTCTTCCTATCACATTCTCAGGAGATTTCTCAGAGAAGTTCATGCCTCTGCTATCATTTTGCACAGAAACAACATGAGATGGTTTCAGCAAAGGGACGGTATTGGCAAGGTTTGGTCCATTAAGAGGGACATAGTATATTTCTTAGCAGAGCTAGAAAGTCAGTTAGCAAGATCTCTTTTTAAGAAAATAAGAAACACATGGACTGTGTAGCCTTTTTGGCTCATGTCACTTAAACCTAAGTGAACTGAGCTTGTGGCTACAGGGCACGGACAAGTGGTTTTTCATGTTATGACAGCTGTCTGTGCCTTTCAGAAAAGACATAAGGTGTTTGAGGAAGACCTGCAGGGAAATTGTTTCTATTTCCAGTGGTGCGGTGACATGTTCAGGGACAGTGATGTGTCTATTCTGATGTTTACTTTATTAGTACCGGTAAGCCAATTCTAAACTTCAGTAATCAACATGACAGCTTCAACAATGGAACACAAATCAATATATTCATTTAGTACCCATTTGTTATCATAGATGTACGGAGCTTCCTATTCAAAGTCATGCAGGACTTTGAATGGGTACATTTAGCACCCTCAAGTATTTCAGATTGAATTAATTTGATTATTGATACAAAGAAAAGCTAGACTTACACAAACTTTATTGTCATTTTCTATACACAGAGTGTATGCAAAATAAAATTGTGATGCATACAGCTTTTCAACAGTGAACAAGCAGCTTACAATAGTGAAATGAACATTACCATTTATAAAATGTAGCAGTTATCAGAATCTAAACAGTGCAGAAGAAAAGGAAAACTAGTTTAAGGTCAAGATGCAAAAGGCATTGATACGGAAGGGTTCAGTGCAGTGCAAAATAAATGAATACATATGGTGCAAAATGCAACAGAACATTGGGTTGTTTTCTATTTAAAGGGATTAAGAAAAATAAATCAGCTATGTTGTCAGTGCAAATATGATGTTTTCAAGTAACAAAACAAAACTATAATCTTGTCATGATGGGTCTCTAGTGTATAAACCCACATGCAGAACACCACAGAAACAGGGTAAAAGTTTAACAGTTTATTTAAGATGCACACACGGAAAAACCAGAGCTGGTTCTGGTACAGGTCCGGGACAGCAGTCACTGAGAATCTGCAGAGATGGATTGTTTGGTTAGCCAGGCAGCGGAGAGGGCTTGTTGATGTTTGATTCAGATTTGTACCTTGATGAGGTTCAGGCAGATCACTGGAGAGGGGGAACCAATTGGGTCCAGAGACAGTGGGTTCAGCAGAGAGCTCAGCAGCAGCAGCGTCTAGCTTCAGACAATTGAGTTTCAGACCTTGAATGATGTCCAAGCTCTCCCATGAGAGCTGATTGGGGAATCCAGACTGATTGTCTTCAGGTTTGGCTTCCTAGGGCAGGCAGGCAGGTTTCCAAGCTAGCTCCTCCAGAGCTACAGACTTTAATCAGGCTTTCCTGTGAGTAGAGAAGACAGAGGCTGGTTAGAATCTTATACTCTCAAGAGCAGACTGAGATTCTAAACGAGAAACAGAGGCTCAGGTTCAGCTAACCAAAACTGGTCAACACTCCGGCGAAGAAGTCAGGTCTGGCTGCTGCTTATGTAGGAGGTCTCCTGATGGGCTGATGATCCACAGGTGTGCTGGAGGCTCCAGCCCAGGAGACCCACAGCGCTCTCTGCTGGAGACAGGTGGCAGATCTCCAGATCCCAACAAATCTACTATTTATTGTATTTCTATCAGTTGGACAAGCTAGTTTTAAAGCATCTCTCTAAGGTCAAGGTCTTGGTTCCCACTTAGTCCAGTACTTTCTCTTCTTTACAGGTATGCTTTAGTCATTATCTTGTAGAACCCAGTTATTCTTACAATTAAATCAAGAGCCCAGAGACAGATGGTAGAATAGATTGATAATTAGTGGGTGAACAGAAAATAATAAGTAGTACTCAAACAGATCTGAATACAAAAAGGAAACTATAAACTCAGGAACAGTAAGAAAAGAGAAAGTGAAGGAAACAAAGAACAAAAACGGTAAGATTATAAAAAAAAACAATTAAATAAAGGGATGCTACAAATAATAAACTAAAGCTCTAAATCCAAGAAATATAACTACCCAACATAAAAGGATATTAGCCAAAAGCTCCACTGCCGTGTCCAGCAATATTCAGAGACACTTCTAGCTAATAGCTTAGCTGCTTAATCGTCATCTCTGCACCACATTTCATGCATCCTAAGTGTTGACTCTTTCAGCAGGCCCACCTCTTAGCCATACAGTTTATCTTCCATAAATGTCTATTATATTCAGTGTATCATCAAAGATTCACATTATTTCTTTTTTTTTAAAAACAAACACAAATACCCCTTCATTTTAGCATAGCAGGTGAAACTAATCTGAAACAGGTGGAACATTCCAGGTTTAGGCAAGCACAAGAAAATGGGTTCCACACTTTTTTAATTTACAAAATATAAACACATATAGTATAACAACCAAACTAAACATTTATCATAGAAGCCTGTGTACTTTCATGTTGCGTCGTCTCTATTCCTTGTTCCACATTTCTAAGAACTGAATATAGATTGTTGGTTAAGTAGATAAAACTGTGCACATTTTTTGCAAAAAGATAATATCAGAAACATGAACAATAAGTCAATTGTGATACTTTTCTTGTTTTGGCCCAGGTGATGCAGTGTAGGCCTACATTGTCAACAGCAGACTGGGTCAGGCGTGTTAAGTACTGCGTTACTAAAATAAAAGCAGATTATCCTGGAAAGGATATTGCTGATTTCACTGATGCATGTGTCTCTAAGCTCATTACTGATAACCTCAGACAGATAAAAGTAACCTCTGCGATTGGCTTGACCTCACTTCTGCTTCAGCCGCATAAAGCTAGAATAGAATCAATGTTTTCATTCTCTCTCGGGAGAATTTGTGCCAAGAGAGCTGCATTGTCCCTACAGGATAGCGATATGTCTTCAACACAGTGTACTTGAACCACATGTTACATTTCTGAATGAAGGTGACTTAAGAAAAACCTTGTTGGAGATGTGTTACATGAAAAGAGACCTGCTGTCTTTTTCTTTTTTTAATATTTCTTGTGCTTTACATTCTATTTTCAAGGTTTCTGTTAAAAACAAAAATATCAGATGGTTACTCACAGGTTGGATTTTGGAGACAGTAAAAGTAATCTCTTTTGGGAAATGCACTACTTATCTGTTGTAAAGCTGACTCTGTCCTTTTGCAAAAACTGTCTGAAAAATACAGACAGTAAATACCTTTCTCTGTTAAATTTTTAAACTACCGTAATGTTTTTGTGCTAAAGTGTGGTGATTGACTTAACACCAGCATGGTGCCATCAGAGCACAAGCAATCTGCCCTAACAAAGCCACAGGGCTTTACTGGAGTTTGGCATCTGCTAGGTTTTATGACAATTTGTTGCAAAAGTCAATGACAAACCAATACCTGAACTTTGATTATTTAATCACATAAAACTTGAACAGGATTACCAACCAGCTATGCAAGTGTAGTGCCCTGCAAACCTCTGTGCCTCTTAAACATATGCCTTTTAACACTAAAGATGCCCATTTCTTTGTATTTTGTTGTAATGTTAGTATCAGAAAAAATTTTGCTGGGTGATACAAGAAAATATTGCAGCTTCTGACAACGGAGGAGCACCATGACAGATCTTGAAAATATACGATATAAAATAAAATAGTATTTACATGTGTGGAGATATTTATATTTGTATTGGAAGGTGTCAGTTAGGGACTCGGATTATGTTATTGAGGTCAGCTGCAGACAAAAACATGCAGATTTTGGTCCTGATGGACTGCAAACTCATGTCAGGGTGGGAGTCTTAAAAGCTTTTTCTCCATGGTGTAAAGGGTCAGCTGAAATCTTTCCTGCTTCACTATAAGGTCTAAATGCATACTGTTTCACCCTCTTTGATCATGTTTTAAACACAAAGAAGCATATTATAAAGTGGAAGTAAGAGGATAATATTCTTTGTTCTAAGTAGCAATCAGAGATTTTGTGTTTGTATTCCTCCTATGTTACTCTTTGAATCCAAAAGAAAACCATATTGTAATTTGATTCAAGAATGAATCCAACTGTTCTGTGAAGGCTTCAGTGGTTTATGATAGAATAATGACAAAACAGTAAGACAATTTCAAGAAAACTCCAAAACCACTAACCTTCTCAGGACGCTGGTGGAGATGCAAATCCTTTGCTTGGTTCCTTAGCAAGAGCCAAATACAGGGTGATGATGTCACCTCAGACATGAACCAGACATGTTAAGGCAAGGAAAACCCTAGATAGTCCACTCACACAAAGGCTTTTAAAAAATCTGGCACTGACTGGATCACCAGTGGAGGCTTATAAAGCTAGGAGACAAGGTGAGATGATTGGAAATAGACGTGGTTGGTTGTGGTGGAAAGAATTATCACTCTGCTTGGCAGTGAGGAGCAAAGCCGAATCTAAACGCTGTTGATCAGTGAGACCAGATTCATAAAAGATAATAGGGCTGCAACTAATGATTAATTTGCAAATCTATGATCATATAATATTAATCTAATATTTTTTTCTGATGAATCGAATAATAATCAGATGGAAGAATATTTTTTTTACAAAATTAAAACAGGTGAAACTAAAATATTTCCACTTTAGGGGTTCTGCATGGAGCCTATTGACAGCTGAAAAAGTTTTTTTTTATCTTGAATGCAAAATGTTTACATATTTTGGAACAATTTTTATATAAATGCTGCTCTAAACATGTTGCTCTGTCAGCTAAAGGCATATTTTACAGTCTCTATATTCCAGTTAACAAATAATCAATTACTAAATTAGTTGATAATTATTTCAATATTGGATTAATCATGATATATCCAATTAATTGTTTCAGCCCTAAAAGATATCCACGTCAAATGACGGGAGGGATTTACTCAGGTTTGCAGTTGTCTTTTACCAATATGGGAAAGGACATAATTCATGTAAAGACACCAAAAAAACACAACATAAAAATGTCCCTGTGTAAATTCTCAGTCTTCCAGGTCATGGCAACCACAAAAACATAAAAAAAAAATGCTTGCTCTGAGTGCAGTGGTGGAACAAGTGTAAAAAATATGCAAGGAACCCTTAGTCCTTAATGCAGCGGTAACAGGACTGAGTCCTGGTCCACTGACCTTTGCAGCATGTCTTCCCCCTCACTCTCAAACCCATTATGTCAAGTAACTTTGAAAAAAAAGGCCCAAAGTGCCAACAGCTCTTACAGCAAATAAAAGGATGCTGATGAAGATTCTCAGTCATCCAGGTCATAGTCATTCCGTAAAGTTCAAAAAAATCCACTGGACTTGGTTTCCAAGATTTGAAGACATTTCGCCACCTCTCCAGGAAGCTTTTTCAATTCAAATGTGATTTGAAAAAAAACACATTTGAATTGAGAAAGCTTCCTGGAGATGTGGCGAAACTTCAAATCTTGGAAACCAAGTCCAGTGGATTTTTTTGAACTTTTACGGAACTAATAAAAGGATAAAAATACTTTCTCTGACAAACACTTAGGACCAGGAGCTTCAATTAGATGAGACCAAGAGTAAACGCTTCGGCTATCATGCAAAATACCAATACTTTACTATGATGTGGATTGTTTTTCTGCTGCTAAAAGAGAAACTATGTAATTAGAATTGATGTGGGAAATTCTTTAAAGAAAAGCTGTTAGTTGCGCAAAGATGATGATTCTAAGCACACAACCAGATCTGCAATGAAATGGTTTAGATCATAGCACATTAGTTAAAGGTCTAGTCAAAGTCCAGATTTAAATCAAACGAGGAATTTGTGACACAGTTGTCAAAAACTGGCACTCCCAGATGCACCAGATCAAGTCTGACACAGCTTCCTCGAGTTGGAGATCATTTGAAAACATATCCATATGTGCAACTATTATGTGCAACATGACTAAATAAAAAATTAAAAAAGGACTACTTTAGAAGAGACAGTGCAAAAGACTGAGGGATTCATATAGCAATGATAGAAATCAATTTCTCTTTCTTTCTCAGAAAAAATAACCATCCTCCCTCATGGCTCAAAATCTCAGGGCAACTTAAGATATTTCGCCCTCATTGCATCACTTGCTAGATCTCCTCTCTCTGATGTTTCTCACTGGGATACAGACTTACAGACATCATAATCTAACTGTCCGAAGTGATAAAGTAAGTCCATAACTCATCTCTTGTCGTGTGGTAAGCCTCTCTGGCTCCTCTCAAACGCCTCCCCATCAGTTCAGTGCTTTATTAGCTGATGTGACCTCACCTGTTGTGGCCCTGCTTCAGGTGATGAATGGCCTTCATATCAGGTTAGAGGCACAGCAAGATATAATGCAGCTGACGGGTTGTGCACCGCTCTTCCACAGAGCCAGAAGGAGGGAAATTAATTAACAAAAAAAAACAAGTACACAAATCACCATGAGCACTAGCTGTTTTCACTCCTGCCTGCCACTGCATAAATGTATACTCCTTATGGTTGCTTTCTGTATGAGGATATAAAACATGTCTTACTAAAAGAGCAGGAAAAGCTAACAAGCTTTATTAGACTCAATGACTACCTGCTTCATCG